TCATCTAGAGGACTTGTAATCTTTCTTCATCATCAAGTTTCTTCCACATGAAAAATACTTGAAACTTTTGAAGTTATTTGTTAATAACCATTTTAAGAGAAGGATGTCTTTGGAATCTCTCAAAAATACCAAAATATGAGTAAAATATACTTCTTTGAAGTTCAAAACCCTAGCTCATAGATCAAGAAAATGCTTTGAGGAACCTTGACAAATTTGAATCACCTTCTTGTACCAACATTCTTGGTTTGTAAATAGAAGTTATGAAGGATTAAAATGACAAATTATAGCCACCAAAACAACTTCCATATCTTGAAAATTGAGAGAAATATGCACTTATGATCAATGGGAACAAGACCTTGTCCAACCATGACAACTTCTTCAATCAATCCCTTGTACTTTTGAATCAATTTGATAACTTTGAAATGAAGTGAACCAAAATAAACCTTGCCATTCCATTTCTTCCAAAACAACTTCAATGGTGAGGTTTGGATTTCTCAAGCTTTATTGACTAGGGCATGAAAATAAACTCATGAACCCATGGATCAACTTGCTAAGCCACATTGCCTTTACCTACATTATTAACAAGTAAGACAAACCAAAATTGCATTTTGTTAATTAGAAAGAAATTCAAAAAATGCATAATCATAAAAGAAAAACAAGTCAAGGTGCTTGGTGATCTCCCAAATAGAAAAGCTAAAGATAGGGAAGAGAACTAAAAGCCCTAATGTGATCTTGTTATGATTGAATCAAAATGGGATGATGAAGGGATCTTAGGGGTAAAAATTAGGGTACAACAATAGGGTTCGAACTTAGCGAGCTTTCTATACATAGTATTTTGACTGCGTCTAAATTCTTCAGATGTGGCAGTTCTTCCCCATCCATTATTGTGAGGATAAGACCACCACCCAATAATGTTGTTTTTATCACATACAGATCTTTGTAGTTGGGTGTCCATTTACCACGTGAATCAAGGTGACATAGTAGAATCTTCTTGAGAACAAAATCTCCTTTTTTGAACACTCGAGGACAAACCTTCTTGTCAAATGCTTTCTTCATTCTCTTTTGGTACAATTGGCTGTGGCACAAAGCTGTCAAGCGTTTTTCTTCAATGAGGTTAAGCTGATCAAGTTGTGTTTGAACCCACTATGCTTCTTCAAGTTTTGTTTCCATTAGAACCCGTAATGATGGAATCTCTACTTCAACAGGGATTACTGCCTTCATGCCATATACGAGAGAGAAAGGATGTTGACGTACGTACAAAATTACGATAGCCATGTAGAGCGAAGGGGAGCATTTTGTGCCAATCTTTGTATGTCTTCACCATTTTCTGAATGATTTTCTTGATGTTCTTATTGGCATCTTCAACGGCCCCGTTCATCTTAGGTCGGTACGGTGAGGAATTATGATGCTTGATCTTGAAGTTTTTGCATAACTCCTTCATCATTTTGTTGTTCAAATTGGACCCGTTGTCTGTAATGATTCTACTAGGGACCCTTTGTCTACATATAAGATTCTTCTTGATGAATCGAGTAAACACTTGTCTTGTCACATTTGTGTAGGAAGCAACTTCCATCCATTTGGTGAAGTAATCGATGGAAACAAGTATGATCTGGTGTCCGTTAAGGCTTTCGGTTTGATCGTTCCTATCATATCAATTCCCCATATTGAAAATGGCCAAGGAGAACTTAGAACATTCAAAGGAGTCAGTGGCATATGCATTTTGTTGATGTAGATTTGGCATTTGTGACATGTCTTTGTATAATGGTAGTAATAATTTTCCATTGTCAACTAATAATAACCTACTCGCAAGATCTTTCTAGCCATGGCATGTCCATTTGTATGAGTTTCAAAGGTACCTTCATGAATTTCTCTCATAAGTATATCTGCTTCATGTTTCTCCACCCACCTAAGTAACACCATATCGTAGTTTCTATTGTATAATACATCACCACTCAAAAATAACTTTGAAGCTAGCTTCCGCAGAGTTCGCTTGTCAATCATAAAGGCCTTTTCTGGATATTCTTGTTTTTCGAGATACCTTTTGATGTCATAAAACTAAGGCTTATCACCTGGTCCTTCTTCAATCGTAAGGCAATGTGTATGTTCTTCAAAATGTTTAATTGTAATGCGCGGTTCTTGATTTGGCCAAGTCACTTTGAACATGGCTGATAAAGTTGTCAAGGAATTTTGCGTCTGATTTTCTTCTCGCGGAATATGACTGAATATAATCTCAGTAAATTCTAAAGCTAGCTTTAAAACATGATCCCGATATGGAATCAATTTGGAATGTTTAGTGCCCCATTAAACGTTGACTTGGTATATGACTAATGTTGAGTCTCCATACACTTCGAGATGTTTAATTCTTAGATCAATAGCAGCATCTAGATCAAAGTTACAAGCTCTGTATTCAGCAAAATTATTGGTGCAGTCAAAACATAACCTTGCAATGTAAGGTTTATGAAAATTCTTTAGAGAAGTCAAAACTGACCCAATACCATACCGTAGTGTGTTTGAAGCACCATCAAACATGAGTGTCCAACGTGCCCTTGGTTCAGGTCCTTTGTCAGGACCTGGTATTTCGTAGTCACCAATAACCATGACATCTTCGTCTAGAAAGTCGAACTTCATTGGTGGATATTCTGGCAATGGCCGATGAGCCAGATGATCAGCTAATGCACTACCCTTGATGTCCTTTTGAATAATATATTTCATGTCATACTCGGATAGTAACATTTTCCATTGGGCAATTCTTCTTGTAAGAGCTGGTTTTTAGAACACATATTTTAAAGGATCCATTCTTGCTATTAAGCACGTGGTGTGAGTTAACATATACTGCCTTATCCTTTTAGTATCCCAAGCCAAATAATAATAAGTCTTCTTGATAAGTAAGTACTTGGTTTCGCAGTCGGTGAATTTCTTGCTGGGATAGTAGATTGCATGCTCTTTTCTATCTATTTCATCATGTTGCCCTAATACACATCCCATTGATCCTTCAAGCACTGCTAAGTACATGATGAGTGGTCTTCCAGGAACTGGTGGCATTAAGATTAGTGGCTCTTGTAAATATTATTTTATTGTCTCGAAGGATGTCTGACAATCATCATTACACACTATTGTCTGGTCTATTCATAGTAATTTGAATATAGCCTGACACGTAGTAGTTAGGTGAGATATGAACCTTGAAATGCAGTTCAATCGTCCTAAGAAACCACAGACCTCTTTTTCTATTCTTGGAGCTGGAATTTATTGTATGGATTTCACCTTATCGGGATCTACCTTAATACCACGTTGACTTACGATAAAGCCCGGTGAAACAACCGGCTGAAAATCATTAAACAATGAAGTCACCATCGAACGTCTTTTATCACACACGAAGGGAAAGGTAAATATCGAGAAAACCTGAGAAGAGAGAAGTCACGGTCTTGCGACTGAGAGATCGGGTAAGGGATTCTATTACGCGAGGGGAAGGTATTAGCACCCCACACTCCCGTAGTATTCTATGTTATCCACTCTTGTTATCTATCTTATGGGTGTGTTCAATCTATGCTTACTGTTTACTATACTATTGAAGGGAGAATGCATGAAAAAGAAAGGGGAAAAGAATGTAGGGAAAATAAAATTGTGCTCGCTAGGGCCCTACCCCAACGCCTACGTATCCGTTTTGAGGAATCAGAGCTACCGTAGTTCGGCTCATGTGTTTTTGTTTGTTTGTGTTTTTTATGGACGAAGTTAATTCTGCCTTCTATCGCAGCTTGACATTTGGAGACTTATGCGTTGCCACAGAAGTAAATTAATCATGTCCTTACCTGAAAAGGGTTTTAGAGAAAAATTTCTCGAGCGCACAAAATGGTTTGATTTGGTTTGTATTTTGTTGCAGATAACGACTAGTTGACCTCAAGAGAGAGATATTAACCGCTTTTCTACTTAGCCATGAAAGGAGTCTTTGAGAATTGAACCGCACCTAGGCTTGAGATGAAGAACAATAAGATCGAGAAGAGACCCGCTTATCATTTTCCATACTAAACAAAGGCATGATTCTCATCAGTAGATTTAAAGTCTTTTGAATTTTGAAAGAAAAAAGAAGTTTTAGTTTTAGATGCATATGCAAAAAGGGAAAGAAAGGTCATAGGGGGACTAGCCTATTTCTAAACCTAATTTTATCATGCATTGTTAGACCTAAAGTTAGAATGAAAGGGAAACGTCTACCTAATGTTAGCATGCATAGCTTGCGGTAAAGTCCTGTTTCTCATGATTTCTAGAAAAGCGGTAAAGTGTGGAAATAAGGAATAAAAGTAAAGCCACAATAATACCTAACGGAGAAGGTCAGTTGCCTCTTCAAAATCACACAAGCGATAAGAAAACTCTACCAAAGGCTTCCTTGAACCTTTCTCAATGGGGATTGCACTCTTAATTGCTTCGAAACTTCATAAATCCAAGTCTCCTTTTATTCCACAATCTTACACAAAATTGGCGCTAAAACCTACCAGAAAAATCATGGCTAACATGGCTACAAAAGATTACTAAACATTAAACAAAGATTGCCAAATGACAATAATAAACAAACTAGATTCTAGAAAATTTATAAAGGGAAATCTAAAATCAAATAGCATGCTTATCATCCTTATGTTTTTCACCATTAAGAATAAAGAAAGAAAATTGAAAATTAAAACAACAATTAAAGGGGAGATAAAGATGAGCCAGTAGGGAGTGCAAATAGAATCCTGGTGCGTGATCAGTACAGGCGCCGAGGACCAACATGAAGGTCCGATCTCCTATTTTTGTTCCATTGCAATTCAAGTCTCCAAAAAAAAATCTTGTGGCATGGGCTTGGGTGGCTACAGTCCGATCCATATCCTAATCAAAAAAGTTATTGAATAATGACATAAAGTTAAACAAAAAATGAGGTAAAGGACCGGTGCATTAGGGTTGAGAATACGTGGGGATTCAAATTCACGAAATCCTCTTCTCTTTCTTAAACGGTGTTCGCTTATCCGACCAAAATGGAACTCACGCCGCCCTCACCCTTCGGATATCACTTTTTCGTCTCAGATTCAAACGGCTCTTCGTCGTTCATCACGAAATCATCTTCTGCTTCTCATCTTCTCGACGTCTCATCACTTTCTCCCGCGGATTCAAGCTTTGCGACTCCGTTTCCTTTCCTTCATCATATTCTACGCGACCTCCGCCTCAAATTTCTCCGTCTTGTTCCAGTTTTATCTTCGCCGAAAACCGTTCCTCCGCGTCGGAGACGGCGTAGCCTTCTTCTTGTTTGTATTTTATTTTGTGAATATCAACGATTAGAAGAAACAAATCGTGTGAACAAAACTCAGGTATGTCTAGTTTTTGATTCGATAAATTTCTTCTACTTTAGCGATTTCGATTCTGTGAATTGTTGTTGTTGAAATTGATTGTGAAATGATGATGATGACGAACGTCATTGTTGTAGGTATGCATGAAGATTCTTTAAGATGAAGCTACAAGAGATGCGATGACGATGGTGTTGTTGCGGAAAGCTTGCCGAGAGTGATGAAGAATCGTGATGTTCTGATGAAGGTTGATGGAGATTGAAGATGCAGAGTTGATGATGATGAAGATCGTGTGCGGTTCAGAGAGATTTGGCAGAGAAGTTTTTTGTGAATTTTATGGTGAGTTTCTTCTCTCAATTCTGATTCTTAAAATGTCTGATGAGAGAGTTTTTTCTGATTTTATTCGTGAGCTTTATAATTTTTTTCTCTGCGTGAATGAATCTTATCCTCTCCCCCTCTTTGTTCTGTTATGCTACTGGAAATTTGTTAGAGACCTGACGTTATGGTTAGAGGTTGTTAAGGTAGTTAACAATTAGGAGGTTAGTTTCTGTTAGTTGGAAACTAAGCTAAGGGTTAGTCAGTTTGAATGGGTTTTTTAAGATGTCAAGTCGTTAGAAATATGGTTAAGAATTCTGTTTTAAGTCAGTTTTGGAGAAAGTTGGTTAGAAGTTTGGGAGTTCTGTTAGGAAGCTGCTTTTGACAGTTGAGAGGTTATGAAACAGTTACGGGACAGTTAGGGATTGGTTATATGGCAGTTAGTTAGAATTCTGTTTGAGAATTAGTTAGGGAATTTCTGTTAGAAGTTTCTGTTAGGAGTTAGTTATACTAGATGGGTTGGCCTTGGATATGAATGAAATTGAAAAATATTTGCTAATTGTTTTGAATTTTTTCTAAGCTTGTTTTATTAATTGATACAGGGCTGAACTGATTTCTCTTGTATTTATTGTGAACAGGGCATGGTGTGGACTTTTTTCATTACGAACTAGTTTATTAGATGAGCTGCAGTTTGGTCAGGTGAATCTAATGAAGGTTCATCAGCAGGTCAGGGTGATGGTTTAAGGCTAGACCGTTAAGAATTATTTGAAATGTTAACTTGGTTTGAGCTCAAAAATGGATGTAATTAGCTGATTGGCTTATGTTTTATTTTTGGACTGGTTTTGCTTTCTTCAAAATGGCAGGGATGCCTTGGTTTTAGATCATGGATTGAAGTTGCAAAGTGAGGATTTTGAACCGGTTCATGTTGCGGGCTATTTCTTTTGTTTTGTGATGCAGGTTATATGAATTAATACTCGAATTATTGGCAAATTGGAATATTATTGAAGCAAGCAGACGTTTGGTCATGAAGAATGAAAACCTCAAGAGGGTAAAAGTCAGGAGCATAAAGATTATGGAAGAATCATGAAGTTGTACATGATGTTTAAGAACTTGTTGCCCAGATTTTGTAGGATAGTATCTCTTGAATTAAACACTTGTATGGAACTTTGATTTTAATGGAGAAGCTTCACCTATTTCTTCTTTTTTCTTCAAATTGAACTCTGCTTATAGTTTGATAGCGTGATGAAATTAGGGGCATGATATTCTTGTAGATCCTTTAAAATATCTTGAATTCAATATCAATTTTCTCAAGCGCTCAAAGTATTTTCTTTTATTTTCCACAGAATTGTAATGATATGATTACTTAAATGTAAATTGTAATGGTCATGAATATGAAGTCAAGTATGGTCAAGGCGTGGTTTTTTGAGCTCGTCTTGTAAAATAAAGTTGAATGATAGCTCCTTTTTTCATGGCTTGTTACTTGAACTCCAAGAAAACCTAGCTTTAAACAAATGATCAATGGAGAAATCAATTGAAACAAGCTTGTGCAAAGATGAAAGCCTTAAAGTCATACAACAACCCTAGTTCCAAAATATCATTGATCTTATGCAAAATTATATTGTTAATGAATGTATGCAATGTTAAATGACCTAATGGAAGTTATATATATGAGAAAAATGCGAGATGCGTAAGCTAGATAAAAGTAAAAGGGTAGGACAAATTTGGGGTATTACACCCGGTAGTTTTCCTGACCTGACACCAAATGTACATTTGTTCGGATTCAACCTTAGTTTAAACTTTCACAGACACTCGAATAAATTTTGTAAATGTTTGATGTGATCCACCTCTGTATGATATTTAGCAATCATATCCTCCATGTATACCTCAACTTCTTTATGGGTTATATCGTGAAATAGTGTAACCATAGCTCCTTGATAAGTTGCCCCTGCATTCTTTCGACCGAAAGACATTAGCTTGTAACAGAAATTTCCCCAAGTAGTCATGAAAGTAGTGTTTTCCATATCCTCGGGTGCCATTTTGATCTGATTATAACCTGAGAAATCATCCATGAATAAGAATATTGAAGCTTGAGTTGTATTATCTACCAAAACATCTATATGAGGTAACGGGAAATCATCTGAGTTGCTTTGCTCAGATCCCGATAATCTACACACATGTGTACTTTTTCATCCTTCTTGGGTACTAGCATGATGTTATCTATCCAAGGTGGATAATCTACCACCGTTAAGAACCATGCATCAAATTTTTCAAGAAATTCTTCTCGAATCTTGCTGGAAATGTTTGGATGAGTTCTTTTGAGCTTCTGTCTAACTAGAGAGCAACCTTCATTAAGAGGTAGTCTATGCACCACAATATTTGTATCCAATCCTGGCATATCTCTGTAAGACCAGGAAAATATATCCACATATTCATGTAACACCTTGATCAATATTTCTTTGAAGCTTCTCTCCAATGTTGCTCCTAGCTTGATTTCTTTTGGATCTTCCTTTGTGCCAAGTTTAATGGTCTCAATAGATTCTTGGTATGGTTGTGTACTGTCAGCTTTTTGCTCCAATTCCCTTGCTAATTCTTCAGTGAGTTCAAGATCTTCATCACCTTCCCATTCGGCTTAGTTGATGGGTGCATCAAAATCATATCGGATAGTAGCAGTAATAATATCGGTGAATTTAGGCATGGATCTGCACATTTATCATGTTTTGGTGTCGTTTTAGTATGTGAATTTAAAAATGCATATGAAGAAAAGTATTTCCATTTTAAAATATAAGAGATAAATGCAAGAGAAAGACGTGGATCTTAATTGAATGCGAAATATAACTCTTATTAATTGAGAATACTATTTGAAACAAATCGGGGGACCCTTATAAGCTACCCCTATGCCTCGGGTTTGACATAGATTCTTTCAAAAACAAGAAAAATTTCTTTGGAAAGAAAAATATCTCTGGAATCTCCACGGTTGTTCAATTCTTGAGCTCTTCGCTTAGAGCATATTCACGGATGAAGTCAGAATCTATCTTGGAGTTGCTCTTGATAGATATCATCACCACTTGTCTGCCATGATCTGTTTCTTTGTTGATGAAGGTTTCCTGGTGTTGTACCCCAAAATTTTCTAACCCATTTTCTTCAAGATATTTTCCTAGGGTTCTCAAATGCTTAAGGTTGCTCAAGAATTGATCAGACAAATTCTCCTCTTAAGCAATGGACTTACAACTAAGGTTTCATTTTTATCACGGAATTTGGGTTTCTAAGGCCCTAATTGGTTTCCATGGTTCCTTATATGTCTCTATGAATTCTCATACTAAGTTTCATGCCCTGCATCACAAGTTTACTTAGTCAATGGCTCAGAAGACTGAAAATCAACTATATTGGATAAAAAGTCAATTATGGTCAACATACAGTCAAACTTCAAGATTATTTGTCAACATAAATATTTTGAATTCATATTCATTATTTGATCAAGGGTTGATCATGATTCATCAATAAAATCTCCCAAATCATCAAAAGTCAAAAGTTTCCAAATTAGGGTTTTCTTAAGGAGAAGTCAACTGAACTTTGACCAAGCATAACTTTCACATGCTTCATCAGATTTTTCTCAATCATAGCTTGTTTTGAAGGAAAGTCAATTCCCTACAACTTTGTCTCTGTATGCTCAAGTTCAAAAAATGCTTCATTTGAGAGATATGAGCCAAAACATTATAGGTCATTCCAAAAGTTAACAAAAAGACATTTTTTGTCAAGGAAACTTACATCAAGATAAAGTCGTCAAATGAAAAAATGATCAATATAGAGATTGTAGGGGACATCTTGAGCTTTCCAAAAAATCTAAGATCACATTCATATAATAAAAATTGAGAGAGTTATAATTTGCACAAGTTGGGAAATTTCGAGAAAATGCATGAAACCCAAATTGATCAAACATGAATTTTTAGGCTAACAGGCTTGTGTTTCAAGGACCATGTGTATTAGGCCTCATTGTGAACCTTTGAACCTATTCATACACCCCTTTGATTTTTATTCCATTTATTTTTGATTTTATTTATTTAAATTCAAAATTAAATAAGATAAAGTCAAGGCTTTTCTTACAAGGTCCAAGCCCCCAATGGTCTAACCTAATTCTTCTCTATATATTCCTCTTCATTCAGACATAACATCACACAAAAACACTTGCAGATAAAACTATTCCAAAACTTCCAAAAATTCAAGAAATTAGGGCAACACAAAACACTTATTTCCAACCTTACTTAATTGAAACCAAACATTGCATTATCATCTTGAAGTGCCCAAGAATCCATACAAATCCTCAAGCAGTCAAGATCGTGCACATAACATCACCATCATCCTCACCGATTTTGGTAGTTTTTTTAAAATTCAAACCTTTGATTTATGTATTCTTTGATACGTTTATATGTGTTCATATACATCATTAGAGTAGGTTTGATGCATAATATGTGAGTTATGGCGCAGTGGCATGGCAGGCAGTGATAAAGGCTAAGGGTGTGGGTTCAACACCCACCCCTGACATTTTGTGTGGTTTTGCTTCTAACTTGTTCTTTTTCCCTATTTTTTCCCTTAATGCAGTTTGAAAGGCTAAGGGCGTGGGTTCAACACCCACCCCTGACATTTTATGTGATTTTGCTTATATCTTGTTCTTTTCCCTATTTTTTTTTACATTAATGAAGTGTGGAAGGCTAAGGGCGTGGGTTTAACATCCACCTTTGATATTTTGTGTGATTTTGCTTCTAACTTGTTCTTTTTCCCTATTTTTCCCCCTTAAACCCTAAATTCACCAAACCATAAAACCACAAATCTTTTTTATACAAACCTAAAGTAATTTTTTTTTGTAAACCCTAAAAATAATTTGGTTTTAGGTTTTTTATCATTAAACTTTTTTAATTAATTTAATTAATCAATTATTTTGTTAATCAAAATTAATTAATTTTTAGGTTTTTCATCATTAAACTTTTTTTAGTTAATTTAATTAATCAATTATTTTGTTAATTAAAATTAATTAATTTTTAGGTTTTTCATCATAAGCCTTTTTTATTAATTAAATTAATCAACTATTTTTGTTAATTAAAATTAATTATTTTTTAGGTTTATTTTAATCATCTTTAAAAAAACCTTTTCCATAAAAAAATCATCAAAATCATTTCTTTTTTTCTCTATTTTAATTTTACTTTATTTTCATAGATAAAGTGTATGGGGTTCGCAATTTGTAATAGCTTAGATTTCTCGCTTTCCTTTTTCATTATTATGTAACTATTTTTTGGATTGTAATAGCTTAGGGATTTTTACTTTCCGCTTTCTATTATGTAACTGTCCCAAATCCATACAATAGGATTCTGCTTTTACTTTTCGCACCGTTACTATATTTTTTATACTTTCTATATTACCGCTTAGTAATTAGGGTTGTATGGAAAGATAAAAACCAATTGATAGATAATCTAACTTCAAGAAAAAATAATTGAATAGAAAACACTTGCACGTGCGCACCTCTAGGGTTGCCTCTCTTGTTTCCTTTTGATTAAATTGTCATGTCCGTCGAACGTGGGGACGCTTTAGCAAAGCCCCTCTGATACAAAAGATCATAGTCCCTCGATGACCCTTTCGATGCTACCTTTGATAAATAATCTAATCCCTTATGAAAATTCCTAAAGCGTCTTTACGAGTTGCCTTCAATGACTGTACGATGACCCACACACGTCCCTTCACATCTAACAATAGGGCTTCCTACTAACTAATGGTAGGGTAACACTATTAAAGGAGGAGCAAAAGTACAATAAAGACCTTGAGTAGGTAGCCCGTTGTTAATCGCTTGCTCACAAATATTTCAAAATAAAACCTTTTTCACAAGCACTCTTGAAACAAATATTTTCAAAACCTTGTGTACGCGTTCTCGAGGATAGATACGAGAATCATTACAAAGTTCTGCTTACAATTGGCATTTTCAAAATATTTTCAAACTCACATTCACAAAGAAATTTTTCAAAACAAAGTGAGCTAGGGATTAATAGCCCGTAGATAACTACGGATGAAAAGGGTGCTAA